CACCTAGGCAAAGATCGGCGCCAGGTTGTTTAGACACTTGTATAGAGGAATTAAGGAGATTCAGGGGTGAACAGGTAGAGCGCTTACAAAAGATGTCCGAAGAGTTAAATGCCACTATGGAGGAGATGCGGGTGGCTACTGAGAAGTTGAACTCAGCTACCGAAACCGTCTTGGAGGTGAAGGGGGAAATTGCGGAGCTCTTGAGTGTGGAGCAAGTGGATGCCGAAACAATCGACTCCTGTAATAAGAGATTTCAGACACTTAAAACTACAGTTCCGCAGACGCTGGCTGAATTAAAGAAACTCACCCAACAGGCCTCACGTATTCGTACTCCGGGTGCGGAGCTGAAGGAGGCTATTAGCCAGGCTAATAGTCTTCTAACAGAGACTCAGGCGGATTTCGAAAAGCTCAAGTCTCACATGCAAGCCACCTCCACCAGCTGGACAGGTGTTTGCAATCTCGCGGAGGAGATATTCGAAGCGGTCTCCTCTAATATGGCCAGTCTTCGACAGTCGGTATATCTCAAATTGCCGATCGCCAGCACCGGAGATCTCAAGACTCGGCTGGCAGGGCTAAAGGGCCTAGTGAAAGACTGCGATTACGCGATAGAAGCTTTGGCTAACAAGTCGGCTGAAAGTCGGACATTCAAATGCGCCCCTACAGACTTTGGATTAGCCCCGCTGAGCGACAAGGTACGGCACTTTTTGACGCAGTCCCGAGGTCTTCCTGTTTGCACAACGGAGAGCAAAATGCAGGAAGTGGAGGAAGCCTTCCAGACTTATGCGGAGTGGTTGGCCAGGGCTGTGGACGAGGTCACCGCTATCTTACAGTCCGCTGAGAGCTGGCTCATCAACGCGAACCAACTCGAGGGCCAGCTAAGAGTATCCTCGAGCGAGTTGGAGAGTGAGGCCGCTCGACCATCCCCTTCACTCAACTTCTCCGCCGACACACAGGATACCGCGCGCGACCTCGGGCTTGCCCGTGTCAGGTCACTTGCGCAGAAAGTGCTCACGTCACATTCGGACAGTCTAGAAGGACTGCAACGAACAGCTGAGAGCAGGCTAACAGACAGTGGCTTCAACCTCTCCAACATAACT